TGATCTCCCAAATTTGTAGTACAGCATATTCAAGTGATTTTTAACAAAATATTGGTCAAATTGATTATGCATTTTCCTAATATTTGACTTATGCCATTTTTTAATTACACACTAAGGGGCTAAGTAGTATCCCCAGTAGCATGTTGGAGTGAATACATGCATGCCATGATGTAAGAATATTAACATTTTATTGTTTTATTTTGGTCCCTTAATGATCTTAAATGCAAAATATAAATTGCAAAACTATATACATCAAAATACAGTATTCACATTCACCTGCATTTTCACTTTATTCTTGCTGCACCTATCTGTGCGTAATGAGAACAAAGGATTTCAAAGCACTTGCTTCAAAATCTCTTTATTGTTTCTTTGTTGCAATCATATTTTTATATGTTGCTTTCAGACTGTTAAATGAAAAAACAGAATAATTTACCAGTCAAAAATAATTGCAGGTAGCTCTTAACTGAGTTTTCTGCTTTTTTTAGCCTATTCTTTTCAAAGATAGTTCTACGTATTTGTTGGGATTTTTCCAAAATATATTAAGATTTTTAACTATGTATTAGGAAAAAATACATACTATCTTTTCTAATTATATTTTTACCCTAGTGATAATTTTATGTAGTTATCCTCAGAATTAGATAGACATCATATAAGAGAAATTTCACTTAGATTTAAGAATGTTAAATGGTTTAGCATTGTTCCTCAGTATCCAGCTGTCTAACCCAAACAAATTGTAAGATCACCTCCTAATTGCTGAAACACAGCTGGTGATTTCCATGGCTATTACTTTAGCTTCTTAAGATGAAAAGCTTTATATCAGTAGCAATAAAGAAAACCAATTTTCATTCATTTTTACATGTGACCTTGTATTATAACTTAACAGGCTCTGAAAATTATGTCATTAAGAAATGCTCTGTTCTTGCTTCCTTGGAAAGAGAATGAGATTCTTAAAATATTGATGCTTCCAATTATAATAAAGAAAGCGTGGACTTGTTAGAAGCATCTCAAAGTTGGTGGAATGTGCAGTCTGTCATTCAGCCTGTACAATAATAGTTAGATTCCTTTCACTTGTATTTTACCTGAATTATCTGTACAAGGTCACTTATTTTGATGAATTGTGAAAGCAGACAGATGGAAAATGAAACTTTATTTGTTATGCCCTTCACAAAAATGTAGTGATGTATGTAGCCTGTCTATAGGTAGCCAGCATACACAACTTTCTGCTTATGCAAATGGCACCGTATTCCTCAGTCCCAGATTACTTATCAGGTAGAAGGTGTCTTTGGAAAACTGGGTTCCTGTCTATGTTCTTCAGTTGCCCTCCTCCCCAGTTAATATGGTTATTTCGTTAAGAGGTACATAGAGGACAGTTGGACCACATTTTTTATGTCAATTGCTAAGAGAACCGGAAAGGTTGAAGATTTTCCAATTTCTCTTCTTATACTGAGGACTTTGGTCATGAATGGACATAATTTTTAATAGCAACGTTTAGCTCACACACAGCATGAACTTTTCGAAGTCAAAGTGAGATGCTTCATCAAATATTTGTATAACGTACTTAGAAGATTGCTGTTTCTCCTAGAGTCAAGTGTGTATGTTAAGCAAGGGATTCTTTACCATCAAGGCATTGTGCATGATATTATAGTTTCTCAATGGATGGAATCTTGTTTTCTAAGTGAATATAGCCTTAGATCCTTTTGATAATCATGACTGAGGAGCTAGATATTTAGATACATGTTTTCATGGTGATAGTTATATAGTTAGTAAGGCCTTCATCTCTCCATCCCTGAAAACCCAAATAATGTCACGTATCTACTATGTGTCAGGCTAATGCATTGTAAATTTGTAACCTATGATTTACCTCAAAAGTGAAAACTTTGTCCAAAAAATTGGCAGTTTATAAATGTCTTCGTACAAGTGTTAGTAGTTAGAAGGCGCCATATTTTCTTCTTTTAATATGCCAATTATGATGTGTAATGCTGAGTGAACACAAATAACGATAGATAGATGATAGATAGATAGATAGATAGATAGATAGATAGATAGATAGATAGAGATTTAGTGGTTTAGTTGGAAGTAATTTATGATGCGAAGGTATACAGTTCAAATCCACTAGCTACACTGTGGGAGAAAAATAGGCAGTCTTCTCCCGTGTGATTAACTGCCTCTGAAAACCCACTGGAGAATCAGTTATGAGTCTTTTCTGGGTTGATGCTACACAACAGCAACACACACACACACACACACACACACACACACACACACACACACATTGTTGTTGCTGTGTACCGTTGAGTCAGATTGAACCCATAGCTGACCCTCTAGTGGGTTTTCAGAGGCAGACAATCTCACAGGAAGAGATTGCCCATCCTTCTCCCGAAATGTACATAACATATACACACACAGAGACATGTGTGTGTGTGTGTGTGTGTATGCTATTCAATACCAATTTTAAAATTAAAGATTGACACACAAATGTAACAAAAAGGCAGAGAAGTAAATATAGCTACTCTGTGATTATCATTGCATAATAAGAATACTTAAAATAACAAGAAATTAGGATAGTGCAACAATGAATGAATGAAAACCCCAAATCTCTGTAAATGTTCATTAAAATTAATAACATTTAATAAAAAAAGAGGGAGAAGAAAATGAATCTCATGTTTCTATGTCTCAGACTGGGCTCCCTAGACCTTTAAATTAACAAGCAGAGAAATATGTGTTAGTTATGGCCAGTTTTTTGACTGTCGGAGATGGTAATATTCTCTTCTTGTCATATCAGATATCTGCTAGATATTGTTAGTGTCCTTCATTGCTCTTTTGTTGTCATTAGATGCCATCAAGTTGACTCTGACTCATAGGGACCCTGTGGACAATGGAAAGAAACCCAGCCTGATCCTGTGCCGTTCTCACCATCTCTGTTGTGCTTGTGCCCATTGCTCTAGCCACTGTGTCCATCTCCTTGATGGTCCATCCTTCTTTCATTGATTCTTGCTTTACCAAGGGAGTTCTGTGGTGCAGTCAGTGGGAAGTTGCACAGCTAACCCAAAGACAGAGCCCCTCTGGTGGTTTGAATCCTCCAAATGCTCCAGGGGAGACAGCTGGGCAGTCTGCTCCCCTGTGCTTGACAGCCTCTGAAATCCAATGGCAGGTCATCTGTGAGTCACATCTGACTCGGTGGCAGTGAGTTTGAGTTTTTGAGTTCTGCTTTACCAAGTGTGATTTCCTTCTCCAATGACTGACCACTCCTGATAACATGTTCTAAGTATGTGAGATGGATGAAGTCTCTTCATCTTTGCTTCTAAGGAGCACTCTAGTTTCAAGACAGATTTGTTTCTTCTTTTTGGCAGCACTTGGTATGTTCAACATTCAAAGGCATTAGTTCTCTTTCAATTTTTCTTATTCGTGTCCAACATTGACCTGAATATGAAGTGACTAAAGTCATCATGGCTCAGAGGTTGTGTACCTTAGTCTTTAAAGTGATATCTTCACTCTTTAGTGATTTGACTGTTAAGTTCTTGTAGCTAATCTAAATGATAGAGAATGATGACTTTGCAAATGATTTGACAGATTATATTAGGTGAGGCTATCTTAGTATTTATTCAAAGATACAAGAAGTTTTTAAAAATCCTAAATGAAATATTGAGTTAGAATCACAACTCAAACTTAACAATAAAGGCACTTACTTTCCAGATATAAATACAAATTCATGCTATTTAGAATTTTGAATACATTTACTAGAAATGGCCTAGTGGCAAGAAGCTTCTCAGCAGTCCCAAAGACACACGGTTCAAGGCCACCAGTTGCTGCATGGGAGAAGGATGGGTAATCTCCTCCCATGTCATTTACTGCCTCTGAAAATCTCATGGAGAGTTAGCTGAGTTGGGTCCAACTCACTGTTACACAATAATATGTACTAACAATGACCTTGTATAGAAAAAGAGAAGTATTCTTTCTGTATGTTAGAGAAATACTAAGATATATTCAGAAGGTCCAGTGGAATATTTTTTTTAGCTATAGGATGACTGCTTAAGAAGTAGAAAATATGGGAAGCAAGATACTTTCGAGAGTACAGTATTTTGATAATGTCTAGTGATGGCTGTGGGTAGATGACAGTGTTGCTTTGTACTTAAATGGGCACCATGGCACTCATGAAATAGACTGAAATAATGCGCTAGTGAAGGTTGACATGTTTTCAGTTTATTTGATTTAGGGAAGCATATTGGCAAACTAAGTGGATATCAAAACAGTAAACTTTCATTCAAAAAATAACAAAAGGAGAGAGCTCTCGTGGCCTAGTGGCAAGAAGCTGTGCTGCAATCCTAAAGGCCCCTGGTTCGAATCCACTAGATGCTCCAGTGGAGAAGGGTGGGGGCAATCTCCTCCTGTGCCAGTCAGATCCGATTTAACAGTACACAACATTAACTGCAACAAAATCAAAAGGAAATATTAAATGGTATCTATCCAAGCATTATATCCAGAGTTCCAGAAGAGTACTGAAATGAAATGTATTCAGTTGTTCTTTGTTTTAAAACACTTTACACTCTCACCAGTACACATAGTTCGTTTATGCTAATTGATAAAAATTTAAACAATTGATAAAAATACACCAGATTGTATGCCCTTTTGTAAATATTTTTTAAATTGTTTCCTTTTTCTTTTAAAACCCTAATAAGGTGTCTTAATTTTTATTTCATCCCCCTCTTAATTAATGGTTTTGCATAGCCTCCAGCCACTTGTGGCTGCTTAAATTTAATAAAATTTATGATTCACTTCCTTATTTCCAATAGCCACATTTTAAGTGTTTGGCTGGTGGAATGAACACCATACGTTGTACAACTTTTCTGTCATTGCAGTAGGTTCGGTTTGGTGGTGCTCGTGGGAAATTGTCAAGACAATTTGAAAATGTGTTGGGCTTATTTTCCAATGTCTTATTATTCTTATATAAGAGTAAATTTCTATTTCATCACTTAAATGACCTTTTTCTTTCTTTTCTTCAGTTTAAAAGGATGCTTAATAGGGAGCTCACCCATCTCTCTGAAATGAGTCGATCTGGAAATCAAGTGTCGGAGTATATATCAAACACATTCTTAGGTGAGAATAACAGACAATTTTTAATTTTTCTTTTGAGGTATTTGCTTTGGGAAGGGTACAGACAGCAATTATTTTTAAGACCGAACAAACATTAAGAATTACATCTGTTTTCCCATAATTAACCATTTTAATAGTTTGAAACTTTTAGCCTTAGAATCTCAGGTAGCATTGCATTTTATAATTTTTTCATTTTTATTCAACTTTAGGGATTAGCTGAATTAAACTGCCAATGTTTTCAAAGTGTTAAACTGTAAAATATATTACATCTAGAGATCTCTGCCCACTTTCACAAATACATGTTCACTGCCAAATATTGTTGTATTTTGTGTGTTCAGTGATAAATTTAATTCAACTATCTAAACGTAATTCTGCTAGAACAAAGCCAGCCAACTAGTGAAAAATGCAGTTACTGAAGAGAACTTTCAAAACAAAAAATTAAAGAGATGTACTACAAACCTCAAACTACAGAAATAAAGTGTAACACGTATAAAAGTCAATGACTTGAACATAGCCATCACTTAATTCACTTTTAAATTAAATTACTATAGTATCTAGTTAGGACACTCACCAAGTGGGCATGTATTTGAATAAGGTAGTGAATTAGTATTAAAACGAAGGATTAAAAGAAGATGAAAGGAATATACGGAGTCATTATATAGAAAGGAATTGGCAAATACAGAGGAATTTAAAGAAATAACATATGAGCAAGAGCCTATGGTGAT